ATATAAATTACTTTTCTAGTTCAAAAAGGAGTATTTAAAAAAATTCTTATGTATTTTTTGATAGTATGGATTAAATTACACTAAACAAAAAGGAACTTCTTCAGCAAAAGCTAAGCTAAATATAATCATCAATATAAATCTACAAACTATGAAACCTCATCTTTCAAGGAGCAATACTTATTTGTGAATATTCATACCTCAAAAAGTAAATAAAAATGAGAATATTTTACAAAGTTGAATAAGGCTAATTACCAAAGCAGATTTGCCATAACTAAAAAAAAATTTTTTATTTTGTTGATATGGAAACCAAAACTTGTTTATAGCTTCTAAGGTATCAGCATAGCTCAGAGGAAGGTTTAACATTAAACCAAAACAAGTAGAAACTTACCAAGGCACAATGATCTCTGTTATTTTGGCTGGTTAATTCTGTGACAGTACAAGCAATACTAGGTCCCAAAAGGAGCTCCCGCTGATCAAGATAACACTGGTGGATATCATTTAGCAGTTGCTGGTATCTGATGGCAAGCAATAAGACTGCAGTAAAAACTTTTGATTTCAGATATGCAAATTAAATCTCATCTTAAATTCCAGAGTTGGCTGCCAAACCTCTAAAGCTAAAATGGTCACCTCTCATTTGCCCACATTAAATACTAGAAATATAGATACAAAACAAAAACAAACCATGATGAACTGTGGTGCCATAAGCTTTTCTTTTAAAGAAGGATTTCTCTCCCAAGAAGAGGGACCTCACAGCTGTCCAAATGAGAAGGAAATCTTGCCATAGAAAAACCTGCCACTGTGAGAACTTGCTAAGTCAGGTCTGTGACCTTGCTCCCCAAAAAAGTTGCATGTTACAGAAACAAGTATGGAGGCAACTGTTCAAAAAATATCAGGGATATAGCCAGATTTGGAAAAATAGCACTATAAGAGAAAGGTAATTTGGAAATCAAAGAACTTATAGGTACTCACTCAGGCATTTTTTCAGATCGTTGTTCTATTTGTTCAATAAGAGTCTGCAGAATAAAGAAAAAATACATTAAAAATCTATCTACTTTAATTATACTATTGATTACTTTCTGATTATAATAGTATCACATGATCACTTAGAAAAACTATAAACATAAGAAAGTGAAA